ATATGCAGGCCATGTCGAATAAGCTTGTGTGTCGTGTTCTTGCAAATCAGATACCACTGAAAGAAGAAACAACTCGAAGAACCTTCTCCCAAAAGAAGGTTGCCCTCCCACCAGGCCACCGAACCAAACCCAAATGAATCCACTTAACAACCCACCGACCGAGGTGCGAGGCCTCTTCATGTGGCGGCCCGCAACGGCAGTTCCGACGTGGTGGAGCGGCTCCTCGCGGCCCGGGCGGATCCGGAGGCCCAGGACAAGAGTGGCCGGGTGGCCCATGGGGTTCAAGGCACTTGGGGTTTGGCGCTTGGCGCTGCAGTGATATGGAAAGATTAGAAAGTGGTTTTGAGGCGTCTTGACAAAACACACTTTTAAGATCTTTTAAAGATGTGTGCCCCTTTGCCAAGGGCATCTTTTTGGATGCTTCAAGCCCATCAGAAACTCTTTGCGCATCAGGATTTGTGAGATACAGCATACATAGCAGTATACGTGGTGTATAGGCCTGCATTGTGGATGTGTACAGTATCCTCTTTACTCCCGCCCAAAACCCATGTAGATATTCACCACCTTGCCGCTGCCCTTGGCCTTAGGTGATACGCCGTGGGACAGGGCCGAGAAACGCGGCCATCAGAAGGTGATGGGCTTGCTGCGTCCAGTCCCTCGGCCTTCCTAGCAGTTCAAATTTGCGGTGTCAACTTTCGAGTCAAGCCATGTTGGAGCTTATTGTGACGATGATTGTTAATGTTTGTGTGTTTTGGAGTTTGTTCCCTAATTTGGAAGATGGATGTGATCATAATTATCGATCATTAATGATCCCTTCTTGAGGATTCTTGCTTTGTTACTGTAGATGCCCAGAAACCTTGTGAAGCATATGCAAGCTTTGTTTGCAAATTTAAGATGCACTAAAGCTATGTGGTTTAGGATGGCTGCGAAGCCCATTCGCTCCTCAGTGTTGCACACCTTTGAGGTTAAAATCCTGCTGATGAGCGGAAACATCATTTCTTGTATCTCGGCAGCGCATTCCTTGATAGCTGGCTTGTAACATAATGTAGCCCTTGCGCCTTGCTTACGAACTGCACTGTCGTGCATGGGTGCTATTTTGTATCCATTCCTTAGAACAGCACTAATTTGTACCAATAACTGATCGCTACAGCTGGTGCACGCTGCCAAAAATGCTCCGCGTGTTCTCAAGGCGACCCTTGGCCAGATCGCTCCGTGAAGGATCTGTGCGAAGAGGTGCAGAATCTCGGCACTGAATCTGCTGACCGCTGGCTTTGCTTCAACATTGTTCACAGACCGGTCCACAATCAATCAATCAACCAACCAACCAATCAATCAATCAAACAATCATACATATAGACAACTAGATATCCAGAATCCACCATGCGACCATGCGTTTGCTTTTTTGTGTGTAACCAAGACTTGTCGTTCGGGTTTTGGGATTTGTCCTGAAGATGCTCCAGATCTGTCCCCTTCGACAAACCTGCCCGTTCCATCCCTTTCCCAAGTTTTTCTCCTGAAGATGTGGTTGCTTCGCCATGCGTCGCCATGTGCTGGGCCACTGTGACACTGTCTTAGCCAGTTTCAAGTCTGGCGAGCCCCGAGGCGAAAGCTGGAGCTTGAAGATGCTGAACAAGTCCAGCTCATCGCGAAGTCTGGCAAGAAGCTGTGCCTGCCGCATGTTTTCGGTGCTGTTTCTGCACCCCAAGGGTTCAAGTCAGGACCAAGTAATAAGTTCTTGACGCATTTGGACGCGTTTGGGATATTTATCCGTTTCCGGAGCTGGTGCCTTGATGCTCGTGACGCGGCGTTCAGGCTCATGTCCGATCACGGAGACTGAATTAGATACAGTTTTTGTATCCTCGTGACCATTTTCACGACAAAATGCTTGACCTCAAGGCATCTCAAGGCCCTTGTTAAAAATAAAAAGCACATGTCACATGTCCATGTCTATACATGGGATATATACAGTTTTTGTGTGTTTTGTGTGCTGCATGTTACAAAACCATTGGCAGCATGCAGCTGTTCTAGTTTTGGGTGACTCTGAAATGTTTTTTTTCTTTTTTTCCAGCGCCAGCTTTGCTGCAAAAGCGAGTTCTTTGAGGTTCCATTTGGGTCCCGGTTAGGACAGATGATTTAGCAAATCACGGACCTGTAATGGCCATATAATAGCACCTGTATTCAGCGCATTCAAAAGTAATGAAGCAAACAGGACCATGCTGTCACGTGAAGTATCCTGAAGTACTCCCTGCTGCAACCTGTTTGGACCAGCTCAGTTCCTGCACTGGTGATACCAGCATATACCAGCCGATATTGTCATCCTGCAGAGCCATGATGTTTGCATCGTAGTGAATAACCAGCCGGGAGGGGATCCCATCCTGTTCAAATTTAAACGAGTCACCAGTGAGAGTGAAAACATGTCTCCGCTGGCAGGTGAAGAAAATTTGAATTTCTGTAGTTAGTAGTTGAATATTGGATTTTGAATCTCACTGTGTTGCCAGGCAGGTTGAGCAAACCCTTCAGGAAGCCAACATTGAACATGGTGGCTCGCTCACTGCGGTAGTTGCAGCCTGACTGCACATTTGAATTTTGCTGTTTGCCATGCCACCTGGTGCTGAGTGAAATCAAGATGAGTATATATGATTGATTGATTGATGTGTCAGTGCAACTATTGAGTGGAAAATCTCAGCACTCCACTGTGCAGGTAGAGAAAGCCAAGCAGGATCATCGACAGGTGCTTGGATTGTATTGAGTCATGATTCATTTTGATACTTTTTTGTTCCTCCATGGACCTTTCGATCGCACTCCCAAAATACTCAAGGGGAACATTTGGAGCAGTATCTCATTCGGAACATATTCCACTTTGCCCCTTTTCAACAACAAAATCAGGCAGCATCTCAGCATCCCAATAAGTTTCCAAAAAAACAAATTAGACAATCGATTCAAGGAGTAACCCCAACAGATTTCCCGTGTTGTCTTTGTAAATAGCTGTATACTCACTGACGTGACTTGCCACCCCAAACCTTGAACAACCAGGCATCATTTGCCCAACCATTGATCAGGCACCTGGCGTGACAATGTTGGCGCACCCTGCTGCTGGCTCAGGCGTGTTGATGTGTGTCTTCATGGTGATATAGTTTAACTTAGTTTAACTTAGTCATGTGCTTCCCCTTCACCGGCTTCGCCCCTTGTAGGTTTCAGCGATGGCTCGTCGCGCCTCCTTGAGTCCAAGGCCCGGTCCGAGCCCCGACCGGACTCACAGTTCGGATGTTGTGAGGACAGTGAGGTGTCAGACTGGTGTCCGAATTGGATGTGAAGTTATATTTGTGCCCCACGAGTTTGAAATAGTGAAGTCGTTGATCGAATGGCCGCCTCTTTACCACTCTCAAGCGACGACTCCCATGGGTGGATCCCGGCTCCCCGTGTCTCATGTGCTGGTGATAGGCCACTGCCTTGGTTTGGCCTTGCTAGGCTTTGAGGTGTGGGAGAACCACCAGCTGAGGGCAGAGCTTCGATCGGTGACCCTGGAATTGGAATCCCACCTTGGTCGAGGGTTTCAAGTGCTTCCGGAAGATCAGCCGGCGCCGACGCCAGAACCCAGCGGAATCCCCCTTGGCTGGTCCAAGACTCCGGAGATCCAGCAAGGGGTGTGGGTTTCAGGCAGTTGGGGGTCGACAGATTTGGGCAAGCTTGGGTTGGGCCTGGTTCTTCTTTTGTTGGTCTTGCTCCTTGTTGGGTTGCTGTTGGCAAAGCGTGATACAGCAAGGGATTCGACATTGGTGGCAAGCTCGCCGTCGAACAAGCGGGACTTGGCAGCTCGCCAGTTGGCGGAGTTGAGACTGAGGAGACATGGCTTTGGCCAATAGGTATGCCTTGGTTGAATACAATGTTGGTGGCCCACGCCTCTGGCACGAACGGTGGGTCACAGAGCACATTGAAGGTGACCAGTACATTGTTGTGACCCCAGATCGAGATGTGTATCTGGAGGAGTTGGGGCTGCTGAACGATGACATCCGCACCATCCGTCTGAGGCCGGCTATGGGTATATTACCTGCTGGAATTGTGGCTGGAGAAGTATACCCCCTTCCAGCATGGGGGGCGAACGACCTTGCTGCTTTGCGGGATGAGGCCCGTCGGACTGCTGAGGCTGAGAGACGTCGGATTGGGGCTGTCGCCCCGGCTCCAGTGGCTGGTGGAGGAGCTCCTGCCGCCGTCGCTGCGGCTGTCGTTGTTGATAGCATTGATGAGAAGACTGGTTATGCCTCGGGTACATTGAAATGGTTGTTTGCAGAAAGTTCATTCGGGTGCAAATTCGGCCAGGAGGCCCGGGGTGTTGCAGTCGCATTGACAAAGGGTGCAAAGGCAGTTCACGTGTTGGCGGATGGGAATTCTGTTTTCATTGAATGTGTGGACGGTGCTGACTATTTTAAGTTTCTGCAGGGTCCAGCCCGATCTGATCACAGAGTGCTCCCAGTTGAGTTGAACACTATGGAACTGCCGGAGATCACATTGAAGGATGTTGCAGCCCGCAGCCAGGAGGTCCCCATGCGGTGGCAGTTGGCTGGCCCCCGCACCGCCCGATGGTGCGTGAACTATCTGGCCATCGAGAACCTTGGCTTTGAGGGCCACCACGAACGCCTGAGGCAGGTCACCAAGGCCGACGCCTCGAGCTGGGGAATACAAGAACACTTCCAGACCAGCATGTCGCTGAGGACTGCACTTTTGATCGACCAGGTTGATCCCTACAATTTGTTGAGCATTGAAGTGCAATTCAGGCGACTCCAAACCATCGAGTTCTCGTACAGTGAAAAGGCCAGAGAGGCCGAATCAAAGGCTGTGGGAGGACGGTTGAGCTTGGAAGAGCAAACCACGTTTGGAGGTGTGACACGCCAGTACTCCACCCTGATGATATGTCCAGACTTACTGGACCATGTCAAAATCGAGACGGAGAAGGAGGCAAGCCTGGCGAAGAACCTTCGAAAGGCGCGCGAGGAGAGGGAGGCCGCTCGGAGGGGGAAGAAAGGTGGCGGGAAGGATTCGGAGAACCCCTGAACTCAGGGGTGCCTGGTTCCTATGGCCCTAGGGATCAGGCGGCACTGGAAGGGCCATTGCATGCGAGGCAAACCCAGAGAGACATCTATCCCATGCCACCTATGCCGAATTCAGAGGTCCCTGCTGGTCGTTTTTCGAGGAAATGTCGGAGAAGGATTGGGCAGAGGAAACATTTTGAGGAGGAGGTGAATCACAGCATTGATTCATTGAACATTTTATTTGGAGCTGCTGGCAAACATCTACAGCATAGTTGGGGAGCAGAACATATGGTCCCCAATGCCGCA